AATCATTCGGTAACTGAATTCAACCATGCACGCAAGTCGATACACATAATATGAAGCTGTTCAAGACCTTACGCCGCCAAAAAAAACTTAAATTCTCAAAATGACCGGCCGGGTCGTTACACTCCATCAGCTTTCTCATATCTCTCCTGAAGCTCACTCCAAATATCTTTGTCTAACTCAGAATACTCAACACTACGAGAGATTTCTTTGGAAAGGGAGTTTGTCAACCAAGAGATGACTAGATCATTACATCTCTACCACTGTCTTGACAAAGGGGAACCAGTAGGTGGCTTGAAAGATGAGTCATTGATGAAATCCAATTTATTACGGACAGACAAGGCTACAAGAATGGTCCTACGGAAACTAAAATAACCAAACCCATCAAAAGGAACAGAAATAAACGAAGCCCCTAAAACATCAGAGGGATGCACGTAGAGTAGGTGACATGGATGAGTATAATCATCCGGATGAAAAACAGTACGTCAGGAAGTTCCTACACCATCTACTGGACTCTCAGAAACATTCGTCATAGTGACAACAAACAAAAATCAACAAACAGGACCAAATTACTAACAACAGTGAAGTAGAAGTTGAGCAACTGGAATTTCCAACACAAAACTATACATACAGGATATGGAATAACAGCAACGAGCAAATATGGAGCTAAAAAATAAAACAATACTATCAAATGCATTGTTCGCTACCGGAAGGGGACGACCTTGATAGAAAACAAAAAACAACAGAACAAAGTCGTTGAGGAGAAGAGCTGAAATAGGTGGATGTAGCCTAAAATGGAAGAATCACAGCTGCAATCGAAGAAAAATGCCTTTTTTATCAACAAATTCTATCTTCCAAAACCCTAGGTTCCGATCTCTAACGAACACCAGAATCGAGATGAAATTCGTTAGAAAAACCTTACGAATAGCATTGCACACAAATGAAATAGCAGATCTTGGACGCCATGGCTCTGATACCATATTAAGATCAAAGATCAAAGTAAAAAGTAGAGAGGGAAGGTGGGGTTCTGTGAGACGAAGAGAGAGAAATGAGAGGAAAAATATCTTCTTTCTGAATGAATGAATAACCAAAATCTAAAAATATTTTTCCTATATGTTTCATATCTGGGACCATACATTTATAAGACCCGGAACTAACTAGCAGCCCAATCCACCAACTATTACACTTGGATACAATAAACACAAAGATGGACCTGAGGCCCAAATACAAGTCTAAACAATAACCGTTACACTAACTAATACCAGATTCTAAACTAACAACTACACTAACTAATAGTAAATAGCACGGTATAGCCAGTTTTCGGACTGGTCAATCAAAAATAGTCAGCGTTTACCAAGTCAATAAAAAATAGCCACTGTTTTGCTGCAATAGAGACAGGTCCAGCATAATATACTGGAGTTCGGTGCACTTGTGTATGAACTCCAGCATATTATGCTGGACCGGTATACTTTGCTGGCTCCAGTATAATATACTGGAGACTGGAGCACTGGTGCTCCAAACTCCAGTATATTATACTGGACCAATATACTTGCTAGAACTCCAGTATATTATGCTGGAGTTCTAGTGTATTTATGCTGGAACTCCATCATATTATGCTGGAGTTCCAGCATACTATCATGGAACTCCAGTATAATATGTTGGAGTTCAAGTATACTTATGCTGGAACTCCAGCATAATATACTGGAGTATTTTCCGGGTTTTGAACAGTGTTTTCGCTCAGATTTATCTTTACATAAAAAGTGGCTAAATTTCGATTACTTTTGAAATTGGGCTTATTTTGAACGACCAGTTGTAAATCTAGCTATTTTTAAATTTCTCCCTAACTAATACCATATTCTAAATCATGAATCCCAACAATCCGCCATGTAGTGCTGCAATATTTAAAAATTTAAAAATATTGCCAAATGAATTAGTTTAGTTATAAGATTTTACACATTTTATAAATTTAAGTAAAAATATATATTATTTAACCATAGTTAAGTAATCAAAGTTTGTATGCTAGGCTGGTGTGAATATGTGTAAAGTTTCTCTAATAAGTGGTATTCCTCCATTCTAATTTATGTGATGTATTTTTGAAGAAAAAAGAAATATATGGTCAATAACAAACGAAAGGTAAAATGAAAAAGATATAATTTACATGACACTTCACCTTGTTCTATTTTTACTATAATTTTACGTTTTTCAAAATATATTAAACTATTTAAATTTTAAATTGATTAATATTATCCCAATTAAACTATTTTAATTATAATTTTAACCAACTTTTTTATTATCATCAATATAATACTTAAGTTAAATAATTAAACTTGTGTTCAACCAAAGNTTTTCGAATCGAAAATTGAACATGAGGAAAATATTTATTATTAGAATCTTTAAACCAGCCCTACTTGGGACTTGGGAGATTTTTTTTTATTTTTTTTTCCTTCAGGATTGTTAAGCAAATAGCCGTGCAGAATCAATGTTTACTTCTTCAAGTCGATATACATTGATTATATACTAATTATATATAGTTATATGCATATTATATATGAATTTTATATATATATATATATATATATATATTATATATTCGTCGGCTATTTTTAATTTAAGCGATTGACGGTTATTTGTGTTAATTCTTTTTTTTTTATTTGACGAGGGATTTGGTATTTATTATGTTTTGTTTGTTGTAGTTTGTTTGTGGGCCTATGACAATGTTGCCTTATTCGGTCACTTCGGAAGCCTACATCCTGAGCATAAGAGCAAAAGTACCATTGCTCTTCAGTCTATTTGTGTGAACGTTAGGCCCATTACTAGTGGGCAAAATTTCACGGTATAGCAGTTTTCGGACTGGTCAATCAAAAATAGCCAGCGTTTACCAAGTCAATGAAAAATAGCCACCGTTTTGCTGCAACAGAGACCGGTCCAACATAATATATTGGAGTTCGGTGCACCTGTGTATGAACTCCAGCATATTATGCTGGACCGGTATACTTTGCTGGCTCCAGTATAATATACTGGAGACTGGAGCACCGGTGCTCCAAACTCCAGTATATTATACTGGACAATTATACTTGCTGGAACTCCAGTATATTATGCTAGAGTTCTAGTGTACTTATGCTTGAACTCCATCATATTATGCTGGAGTTCCAGCATACTTATCCTGGAACTCCAGTATAATATACTGGAGTTCAAGCATACTTATTCTGGAATTCCAGCATAATATACTAGAGTATTTTTCGGGTTTTGAACAGTGTTTTCGCTCAGATTTATCTTTACATAAAAAGTGGCTAAATTTTGATTACTTTTGAAATTGGGCTATTTTTGAACGACCAGTTTAAATCTGGCTATTTTAAAAAATCTCCCAGATTATAGTGGTATTATTATTCTAGCCCGCGCCGGAACTATTTACATCTGGTAGCCGAAAAAGTGTATAAAATTTGTATAATTTTTGTATATAACATACAGAATGTATATATATGCAAAAAATATACAAATTTTATACATTTTTTGACTATTATTTTTACAGCAGCTATACAGTATACAATGTCATTTTTTCAAGATTATATAAGAAGAAACCGAGTAATTTTCTCTTTCCCTGCTTTTTCATATTTCTCGTCTGAAGAAACCTACTGCAGGGGCAGGGGGTGGGGGCAGCGGAAAAGGGCCAGAACTGCCCCTAAAGTATAGGAATTGGTACAAAAATATCATCTGTCCACCTATTTGAATAAAAATGGCCCTATCGTTATTTTTTGGCTCAACACTACCCTTATTACTAACAAGAAATTTAAAAAAAATTAATTAATATCCACGTGTCACCGTCCCATAGGCCTAATGTAAACCTAAGCTAAATTATAATTAAACTCTCTCTCTCTCTCTCTCTCTCTCTCTCTCTCTCTCTCTCTCTCTCTCTCTCTCTCTCTCTCTCATTTCATTTTAATGAGCATGTTTAAGAGTGTATGTGTACGATTGGGAGTGTTCATAAAAATCCGAGAAATCAAACCAAACCGAGCACCTTTTTTTATTTTTTCCTGTTTATGTAATATGTATTTTTATTTTTAATTTATTTCACTATTTGTTCTATTAATATATAAGTTTTTTTGCTATGTGTAACGGGTATTGTGCAAGTATCATATTTCATACCGCTGGGTTCAACTAATAATAGTTGGCAATTTTTTAGATAATCTCTTCATTAGTATTTGTTTTCTTCTTTTGAAATCATTTTTGTTATCATGGATTCAATTTTTTCAATTAGATTACTGTGCTAAGTCTAGCGGGAAAAAAAAATTCTATGCATAATTTGCAAGTGAGATGTGTTGCGAAGTGGATCAATATTCGAACGGGTTACGAGTGAGTTTAATTATATTTTGGTTTAAGTTCAAGTTAAGCCAATGAAACGGTGACATGTGGTACTAATTAATTTTTGCTATTTTTCGAGAATTTTCTGTTAGTAATAAGGGTAATGTTGAGCTAAAAAAATAATGGTAGGGGCATTTTTATTCAAATAGATGAATGGAGCGCATTCTTGTACCATTTCTGATACTTCAGGGATAATTCTGGCCCTTTTCCGAAAGAAAAAGCAAAAGAAACCGACCACAATAAGAAAACAAACACCGAAAGATGAAATATCAAAAAGAAGTATTCTGCCTCCCTGAAACGTAATAAATGAAAGACAGAGCGAACAATATGAGAAAGCAAACGAGTTTAAGGTTCTATAGTTAACACTAACTTTGGTCCAGTTAATTTGGTCCAAACCATATATTTGTGTTAAGAAATTTATTGAATATGTACAAATATTAATTTAGAACCCAATAGCTTAAAAGGACTAGAACCCCGAACCCATAAACTCTAAATCCTGGCTCCACCTCTGGATATGATATAATAAAAAATAGTATAATTTGCTTTATCCGGTTAAATTGCATTATGTAAACATTTTACGCAATCAAGCGTATATAACAGGAAGCGGAAGCTATTAAAAGCACCATCAGAAAAAATTCGAGATATGCCAAGTATAAAGAGAGCCGCAAAACTATAAATAGTCACAAATTTACAGATACAAAAACTATATGGTAGTTTGTATTGTTCTATACATTGCAGCTGAAGGTCAAGAGATCATAAATATGCCACAATACCTCCCTGACGACTTCAGCTCTACTCATTTACATCCTTTCCTCTTTCTTCCCTTCATTTCTTTGGGTCTGTCTTATTTTACAGTTGTTGGAGAAGTACACAAGGGATAATTATATATCATTGTAAGGTTACAAAATACAGGTGAATTAATTAAAGAATGTCTCTGAAAGGCGAGTTGACAATGAAAACCTGCAGTAAGGAAAAGAGGGAGGAAAGTAAGAAACTTCCATTAGTTTAAAGTAATTTTCAGACTAAGAACTGTATGAAGTAAGAACTGGAAAATACGAGGAACGGCAATCACCTTTCTTTTCACCATAACCATGAGGTTAAAAATAATGTCAAGTAAAGGCAAAAATCCGATCTGCAATATTTGTCCGACATATGGGACACTCGAAGCAGGCAAGGGAACAAGACTTACACACTGCAAAAAATCATCACATTCAAACAGCTCATACTGTGGGAGCAAAGATAACACGAGCATAAAATGAAAAAGGAGACTTACAGCAAAAATGGCGGCATGGAAGAAGCATTGCAGCAGTGGGTGATTCAAAACACACTTTACATACATTTGAATTTGCATCACCATTACCCGAGTACCTATGTTCCTTTTCCTTCATCTCTTGCATTCGGGCCTGGAGGCGTAAGTATAAAAGATCATAGAACTTTCAAATTTCTGGAGTAATCAAAGCACGTAAATAAACAATCGCATGTCTTTCACAAATTTCAAGAAGTCAGCCATTTGAAGTTCATTTTTATTTGTGGTTTTCCTAATCAAACTAACTTTCAAGTGCCATTTTCTATTTTCTCCACTGCTATCAATACAATCTACAACTCAATGAAACAACATGGCTGATGAAACTGTCACATAAGTGGAATAGAGTAGCATAAAAGGGAAGAGAGAGATTTCCATACAGAGCCAGTAAAGAAAATAGCTAAGATTGATGCTCCTACTAGTGATTCTATGAAACATTTCAGAAATAGCACTCTGTGGAATGACAGGAAGTAGGTGACTGAACACATAAAGGCCGAAGATTTAATTCAGAGTAAAGACACTGATATGTCCAGACCCATACAATTGTGTAAATATAGGTGTGGACAAGTGAAAAGAAAATGATAATGACATTACCTTCAAGCGGGCAACAAGCGGTTCAACCTTTGGAGCCTCAGCAATGGAAGCTGTATGATTCACGGCTTGGCTATCAATGAGGATCGGGTCCTTGTGATCGATATCATTGATTTTTGCATCACTCAGACTGTCTTCTACATTCTGACTTTCAGCTGCCAGCTTTGGAACTTGCCTAGCACAGCTTTCTTTCTTCAGCTGAGCAACAAGTACCCACATATTTGCTAAATCGTTTTCCAGGGCTGCCTCCCTTTTCTTTCCCTCTTCAACCTTTTGCCTGTACTCGTCTTCCACAACTTCCTTCTCAGCCAAGACAGCCTCCAGAGCTGCCTCTCGCTGTTTCCTGGCCTGCAACTCCATCTTTAGATCTTCAGGGTCTAGGTCCCATGTGTCAAAGTCATCATGAATCGCTCCTGGAATTTCACTTCCTCTGCCAGGGATCCGACTTCTACGCCCTGATCGTAGGTTTTCACCATGCTTTCGGCTTCCAACGTTACCAGCTTGTGTAATGGAACTTCGAGAATTCAACATCTCTCTAGCAGCCAACAACTCTTTCTCTAGTTTTGCATTCTGTAACGAGAGCTTTGTGACTTCACCAGCTAAGTTTTTAAGTTCAACAGCAGCAGCAGATGCTAATTCTTTTGCATACAAAGCTTCCTCAGACAATTTCTGGTTCTGTACATGTAACCCACTATTTTCCTCTACGATCTGGACATGTTCTAGCTTCAGTTTACCATTTTCAATTTCCTGTTCAAATTGCAAAACAATATATAAGATCTGTGATACAAACTCATCCAGCACAAATGCAATGTTAATAATGTGCCTAGACGGCAAAACTATGCATAATATCATATGAAAAAAGCTAGAAAGATCCAGTCTGATGATTGGGATGCATATCAACTAACAGAATCAAAGAATTCTAACACAGAAGTACCCCATGGAAGCAGAAAAATTGCAGATAGTTAATCAAAACAAATATTTTAAACAAAATTAGCACCACAAAAACATAAAGAACTTAATGAGGAAAGAAAGAAGAGAACAGGTACACCTGACAGATTCACTAATCAGATCACTGAAATTCCTCCAATGAACACGAACATATCTTAGAATAATTTTTGGTCTCAACATATCATCATGTTTCTTAATAACTGTATGGATAATATATGTGTTCTTATTCACATTCTATCCCATATAAAATAATACATAGATCCGCAAATAAATTAATACAGATACTAGTTAAAACAGCCAACCAAATGCTGCATTAGTTATGCAGGGATTATTCTTTCTAATCACTCAAACCAAAGATAGTATTGTGTTTATGGGGGACTTTATGCTGGTATTATTTTTTCTTATACCTCCAACCAAACAACCCATTAGTCTTCACTTGCATTTATTTTAATGCAAGGAAAGTTGTACATATCTAGACTCTAGAGGTAACAAGGGTTCACATGATCCCTTCTTTGTAACTTTTCCCTAATTAAACATTGATATGGCTCCAAAGGGACACCATCTATAGGGAAATATGCTAAAAAATGAAAAAGAAGTCTGTTCATCACATCAAAGACCACTGGAAATATATACTGTGAGGAGTTTGGTTTAAGGCTTCAGATGCTCCCCTCACCTTCCTAAGTACTGGCAATTGATACTATCTGTACCAAAAGTTTGTTTCAAGAGCAAGCAGTCCATTCAATTCATTAGATAAAGATGCAGACCAAGTGCTGGATAGAATGATATAAAAATCACCTGGGACTGAATTTTCTTTCTAAGCTCATCAACATATTCGTCAGATACACGTTGTAATGGGTATGACCTTTCAGCCTTAACTGCATCCAGCTGCTGCTCAAGATGATAAATCTTTTCCTGCAGTTCCTTGTTCTCTGAACACTGAATACAACGAAAAGGTAACAGTCACATTACTCTTTAGAAAAAAGAAAAAAAGAAAAGCTACTAGCTTGAAATTGCATACAAGGTCGACAAAATTCAGTACAAATAGTTGATTGGAAATGAAGATAAATAACACTGCTATTTGACCTTGTTTTGCAGCTCTTCCCGAAGAATCCTATTGTCCGCTGATGTTATCTGCATCAGAGGATCAAATTTTAAACAGCTCAGAATAGGGATAGATACACAGCGTGTCAACAAACTATTATCTGCTACAAACCTCAAGCTCAAAGCACTTCTCGCTACACTGTGTCATCAATTTCATCAGAGTCTGCTAAAAGACAAAAATATGAGACACACAAATTTGAGAGGAAAAATAAAAACAAAGAGGTTGAGAAGGATAATATGAGGTCACCTGCTGCATTTCAACTAATGATGCTTTAGAAACTGATGCTTCACCGTTTTCAACAATGCGCTGTTCCAGGATCCTCATTTGATTTCTCTTTTCTTGTATTTCGCGCTCTAAATTTTCGATCTGTCATAGGAGTTAGAATAAATGATTCTGATCCTAAACTCGAAACACATTTACATACACAATAAAAACAAGTAAGTAACTTCCATTCATACAGCTGCCTTGTATAACGAAAACAGAACATTTATGAAGAACAAGACTATACTTCCTGCGATAATGATTTAAGAAGCCTAAGGACTTCAAATATCGGAGATGTTTTATCATTTTTGCTAACAGCACTAGAAGTGAATAAGTTCGAAACTTAACAGAAAGATTAGCACAAAACCTAGAATTTTGTGGTAAGAATCAAATGATAAATTCATAACGAACAGTAGAATAGTAAAAAGACTGCCTTCTGGAAGAAAAATCTATAAAGGAGACCAAATTAATCGCAGCAGGTTACTGTTGGAACAGAGGTAGAAGGAGAAGCAAGAGGACACTGGAGGAACACAATCCCTGCATGCATAATTGCATATGGTGTGCTGTTTGGAAGGAAAGAAACATCAGATATTTTTAAGACAAAGCTAACTCTTTTCAACAGATCAAGTTTAACTGCATAGTTTTGCTTTCTTTTCGGTGTAAAGAGGAATTTGTAAATGAAGCAGAACCAATACTCACCCTTTTAGAATCCCTGTAAGATTGGAGAAGGATTTTTCTTTTGGTTTTTTGCTCGTTTGTAATGAATACAGCACTTCCTTAGTGCTACCTTTCTAATACAAATATCTTTCTCTCAAAAAGAATTACTCGCAGCAGGTTATAGCAGACAAACACATCATTGTCTTATTCAACTTAACCATCAAATTGTTTTGAAGGTGGAAAAGAATTAACAAAAGATAGCATACTTGAGTTCTTGAACTCTCAGGATCATTTACAGATTGCTCCATCAACCGCTTCAATGTACTGCTGCTGAATGCAATCTCTCCACTAAGCATCTTAACTTGCTCGGCCAGGAGGTCCATTTCATCTGCCATTGAGATACCTTCCTGCATTCAAACAGAACAGACCATCAAAAATAGCAAAAAGCTAACCCTTGATAACGATCATCATGTTGCACCATATACTATTCGTTCAACGCATTAAACAAAGGACTAGAAAGATGTCCTAGCTATGCTGACTTTACATATAAGCATTTTCCAAAACCCATAATCAATTGATGGTACAAACGTGGATATTATAATATTACTAGATTATACCGTGTCAAAAGAATAATAATATTACTAGATCATAGTGAGGGAATTATTAGCAAGGAGATGGACGGATTAGGGAGAGACGGGATTGTGGATTATCAATCATTCAAAGTTAGCTGAAGTCGGCTATTTGACTCCTTTATATCAATTCTGCTCTACTGGGCTCTAAGGGATTGTGAATCAGATTTGGTAAATTGTACACTAGGTTTGGTATGTAGATGACGTGTGTTGGTAAATCTTTTCTGAACATGATAACCTTTTTATGTATACAATTACTATTAAGTTACACAAAATAACACAACAAGTTAGGTAAGCGAAAGGGTGACAGCTGATGATCATGCTTAAGAAGGTGAACGAGATGGCAAAAGATACTGCGAGTGCTAATGCCAAGGTAGAGAAAGGATAAAATAGTATTTTCGTGTCTAATCCATGGGATAGGATTTTGATCTCGCATCGGATCCCCCCATGGGGTTGCTGATCCACGCATGGCACCCCCCACCCCCCAAATGGGATTGTCATCCAAACAGCGAAACACCGGACATGAGTAGGGGGTGGTACCCCGGCCCAAAGTTAAACCAAACTCCCGATAGGGTAGCATTATATAGCTATGGAACCGCATAATTTATCAACTCCCATTAAGTGAACATGATTGGACTGACAGAAAACTATTATATAGCTATGGAATCACATAATTTCTCAATTCTGATACAAAATGGCGAGAGTATTCAAATATAAAATCTGGATGGATGTTTGCTTAATTTGAAACTTCAGCAAGGTATGTAAATAGCTAATGTAAATTTTGGATAATGAAAATGACCTTAGCTAGCACTTTATTGGTTAAATACAGGTTAAGGCAAATTTAAGCCCTGAAGCTAGGTGCAACAAAGGTTAAGCATTTCACCTTGCTAAGGTGGCACTCCCATACATGCACCAAGATGCAAAGGTGCGCGCGTCAGCGCCAAACCCTTACTTTGTTAAGTGGCAGCACTAACAAATAAGTATAGATGGTATATTAAATATTTTCATTAACTTTTTTTTGATATTATATATTAAATATTTTAATTACTAAGGAAACTTTATGGATGATTATAGTAATGATTGTGAATTTTATTTTAGAAATTTAGTATGAGAAATTCAGGGAAAATCTGGATAAGAAACTCAAATTTGCATTTTTTTTAATCTAACCAAGTTTCAAATGATTTTTGAACTTGATTGACATAGTTCGATTCATATTAGTATTTCCAATTCAGTTGCCTTTATAATGTTATTTGTGTAAAGAGTTAACTTTTGTTGCTTTACATATATACTTCTGTTTGTTTTTCATTTGCACCGTTTCCTACTGCAATGAGTGCCTTAATTGCATTTTGTACTTAAAGCTTCAGCAGATCAGCACTTTTTTTCTTAGACAAAGTTGCATTTTTCAGTAAAATAAATTCACTTTATGAATAAGACCAACTGCAAATATTAACTTACAAATCGTTTGAGTCCTTCGAAGGATTAAGATTCACATGCACTCAATTTGAAAATTGAATTAAGAACACATAAATAAGCAGCCTCCACTTAAAAGTTTTAAAATTGTGAAGGAAAGAGAAGGAAAGAGACATACTATGGGCAGCTTTGAACCACAGGAAGAACCGCCAAGAAGTTCACCCATCTCAGCCAATTCGGTAATCGTACTTCCAGCCTGTGATAGATCATCATTCCACTTGCTAGAGGATCTTTTGTTTTTTAAATCAGAACTATCTGACGAAGGGTCTTTCTGATTCTCGCTATCTGTGAGCATAGAACTGTCCAATTTCTGATGGAATGATCGAAAATAGAAGATCAGTACAAAACACAAATTTTCTATCCTAGATCAGATAAAGGCAGAGAATGTTTGTCCAAACAATAACGGATAGGAAAAGAAACGAGAGGAGTCGTTTATCTTACATTCCAATGTTAATGAGTTGAACAATTGAGGTATAGGTTTCTCTACTTTTGGTATACCTCTTGTATACGGGGTTCCCCCCAACATTAATAAAATTATTTACCTTATCAAAAATGAGTTGAGCACTTGAATGAAGAATATAATAATGATTAAGTAAAACATCTATGAAGTGCACAACTGATTGCAAAAGAGCAGGTAAAACTGGTGCAAAAAATACAATACACATGATGCTATCTTAAAGCAATTATCAAGGTGAAAATCCGGAAAGTATGCACAGAGGTTGAGAAGAAAGAACCGCACTGAAGAACACAACTCATGATATTATGGAAAGACAAGCCTACATCATCTTCAGAAGCAGAAACACTCCTTTGATGAGCAGCAGCATCACCCAAATAACCAGGAATTGAACTCTTTGAAGAAACCAGGATCAGTTTAGTCAGCCTCTGTATCCGACTCAGTAGAGCTGCCTTCTCTTCCTCCTCCTCTTCCAATCTTGACTGCATTTTCACTTGTCCCTCTTCCAACTGTAAAATGAACAAGAATGTAATTCAGTACAGAATCCATTTATGCTAAAAGAACACCCAAAAGCAGCTAATTGAGTAAAGATATTAAACACGCAATTAGTTTGACATGATCACGTCTAGCTATAGAGAGTCCTTACCACATCATTTAACTTTAAATCATACCTGCTGTCTCAAGTTCATAAGCTCTTCATGATTGACACCGAAAAGCACCCCTCTTCTTAGCTGATCAAGCTCTTGTTTCAGACATGATATTTCCCTTTGATATTTCTTAATCAGAGACTTTTCATCAATTATCTGAAAGAAATACATACCGAACTGTCAGCTTTCTCTATTGCAACTCTAGGAAACTGAAGCAATGCTAAAGAGCAAACCTTGTTGCGTGATGCATAAATCTCAACACGTTTAGCCCTACTTGCGAATTTTAACGTATTATGTGTTTCCTCCATATTGCTTGAAGCAGGAGTAAGAGTACATATGAGCTGCAGATCACAAAAAGGGGAGAAATTAGTCATCCTTCCTGTGAAGCAATTGATGTCAAAGCAAGCACCATGAATATCAGATGGCAAAGTGTGCCTCATTATTTATTTAAATGAAAAAGAATGGAGAGCTAAGAGGCCAAAGATGCACATCAATAAAGCTGTATAAATAATAGATATGAAGAATAAAATAGAACTCCTTGTGTGGGCTCATCATACTTACTGAAACATGTCCATGTCCACTCAGCGATGATTGGAGTAGGCGAGTAAGTTTAGAATCCCGATAAGGAACATGACATGCCTTCCCTTCACTAAGTTTTCCAATGACCTAATACATGAGAACACAATCAATGCATCAGCATTACGTTCAGACTATTATAATCTTTAGCCCAGCCTGAAAAAGCAATACATCGATCATTCTGATAGGCAAGGACAAGAAACTGAATTATGACAATGGTGCATTATATATTTGTTATACGAAACCACCATAGAAATGGTCAATGAGGGATGCTTAGAGTACGTACAGTTCCTAGAGTCAGCAGACTTTTATTTATGTATGATCCTTCCTTTCTCCGTAATCCCGTTGTCTCAGTTTTAGAGCTCTCAGACCCTGCTAAATCAATCAGGTTCTAAGGGGCAAAAAAAGAAAAATAAGTGAGATGCTATAATATGAGGCTTGACATTTGAATACAGAAAACAGTGTAAGTAGCTATACGAGCTGTGAGAAGATCACTCCATCATACTCATCACCATGGGCACTACTTTCAATCATCTGCAAAATGTGCAGGGAAGTGGACATAATAAGATAGGAGTATAAAAACCAAGTACGATGTGTGACTGTTAAGCAGGGAGGGAGAAATATAAAGTGACCAAACAGAAGATTATGATCACAGACCTAGTAGATTTCACATACAGTAAAAGCAGAAGATAGTACATGATATATTACCAAGGAGAATATTGTGTGACTGCGGCTACTGAACAAATTGAAATTATTTGAACCAATGTGACGGTGCTCTGCAATACAAAAGATAGAAATCAATATAAATGGTCCATAACATGGCCTTGGCTGTCAATAATGGGTTTGGAGAGACAGAATTGGACCATACACAATAATTACCTTCCCCAGCAGCAATGAACGAAAGAGCATGACCGGGTGACAAAACAACTTCCTCTTTTATACCTTCAACATAAGTACCCTGCATATTTATAGCAAGCGTGAATGATCAAGAAATATACCTTAGCAATAGAATCAACTTTTTACAGCAGCATAAACATCTGTTATGCAGATGGGGAAAAATAGAGAGGAAACTCAGGATCTGTTGCATAGGTGGTGAAAAAAACAATATGGAATTAACATCCTAAACGAAATATCTGGGTAGAAAGCCAGAGTGGAAACCTCAGGAACTGTAGCTTGGGAGGTGAAAAGAACAGTACGGAGCTAATATGCTAAAGGTAGCATATATTAGCTTTTGTTTGTTTCTTGATTCATTTTCAGGGTCATTTGTGACTCAAGATATTAATGAAAAGTACAAGCTAAACTTACTCACAAGCTAGTGATGACTGGTCAGAAGACATCATTGTTTTTGTGCAATTGTTTCCTATTATTGCCCTTAATGATGTCTATAGGAATGTACAACTCTACATCCAGATCCCTCATATGAAACAATATGCTCATCTTCAGACAAAATGTAGAAAGAAATATCAAAATGACCAGAATCATAGCTTCAAGAAAACTGGCTTTTTAAAAACAAATAGAGAAAAAGCCTTGGCAAATGGCCCTAAAAAAGCAAGTCTTATTAGAACAAAAACCTGTGCATCTTCCCTGACACGCAAATTCTGGCCAGTAGGATCCAGCAAGTCATTGATAACCTGACATCATAAATACGAACAGTACACAAGTTAATTATGGTAAAAATGGGTATGAGACAGTTAAAAATGTCTAGAGGTGATAAGTGCATACAGACAGATGCTAAATATACACTAAAGAGTATTTCACTTTGTATAGGTCTATAGGAGAAGCTTTATGCTGTAGCTATGAAGGACATGAGCGCAAAATCTAAACATAGACGTAGGATCGAAATAAAAAGGGCTCATCATATATGCGAACCACCCCGCAAAGCATAATGGTATTTTCTCATTCTAATCAGTGTCACTATCATTGTTTGTGAAATATCTGCTGATCCGCTCCATACTAACCTCGTTGTAGATTTCAATATATGACACACGGAGTAAGAATTCGCGTCCAGGAGTCTGAAAATTTTAAGAGTTAGTCACACTCTCCATAGAATAATCAATAATTGAAACAAGCATGGCTTTCCATCCTTATGGAAAGATGATTGAGGAAAATGAATAACACCATATCACTCTAGGGTGCCATGCCAGACAAAACTGCAACACCAAATTTTCAGAATGAGGACAACTTCCAAGCTTACTTACATCTTGAATAATGCTGAAAACGTCCTTTATCGCCAAAGGAATTATGCCCGGACAACTGTGATCTCCCTGTTGAAACCAAGATCTCAAAAATCAACATTCAGATAACAAAAACTTGTACACTTGGGAGGGGTGGGGAAGGGGAAGGAGAAAAGCAAACTTCAACTAGCGAAGAGGAAAATGAAGCAAGTAACTACAATTTAACAATCAATTTTCAACAAAACGTGCAATAAATATAAAGATTGTGCAGTATTACAGGGCAGCAGCTTTGTCAATAGCAATTAAAAGTTCCTAGGCAGTTCATTGGCAATGTAACTGAGTCGGTGAAGCTTTCTTTCAGTTCAAAGGGAAAAAGGATATAACAGAAAGGAAAATTGATTTACATGCATAGTGTGCGTCTTTCCACTACTTGTAACTCCATAAGCAAATACTGTGCCTGCATAATCAGCAGGGCTCAAGTCAAAATACAAAAATAACAGATGAACACAATTAAATTGGACAGCACCATGTATCACACTTAAATGACAACAAATACGGTCCATGAAAAATAATTACCATGTATGCCTTCCATTGCAGCCTTGACCACAGGTCGAGCAGCTACTTCATAAACTTCTTGAGTAATTGTTTGCGGTCCAAACACTCTATCTACCCAGCATCAAAGCAAATATTACCAAAATAACTATATTAACTTCGACGGAAACCTAAGTCTAAGCAATTCCATACTCTTCCCAGGCTAATTTAGGAGATCTTTTAACAGTTAGCAGAATCAGAATCATAATGAAACCCGAAAGTGTCTAGAATTGTACCAAATGCATAAGCTGTGGCTGGATTATACTCGTTCCTCACAATTTTATCACCATCTGCATACCATGCAATTTCATCGCCCTTCTGATATTCTCGTTCACTGTCACCATAAATTACAACAATTTCAAATACTTACTACATTGTCTCAAAACTCACATCCCTAAAATTCAGCTGAACATATTTCAAAAGTGTTTAAGTTCTACGAATTGACAGTGTAAAAAAATATTTTAATAGCAGGTAATTATGTATAATAAGCATTGATTAGTAGTCCAAATTAAACCATAAGTTACCAGTCGTAACAGGTCAAGTCACACTGATATAAAAAATTTCTACTCTGTCCCTGTATATAACTTAAACCCATATCTAAATCAGTTCAAACAGATCTAAAATTTACTACAATTTACCTCATTGGGCGAAACCTGACAGTGACTGAAATGCTATCTCCCGATCTAGACATATCATCAACTGGTTCATCAATCAACTCCTCTTCCGCTTCCGACGTGTAACTGACTGGCGTACGATTTTCGTAACCTTGCGAGTACATCGAATCGGAACGACTCATGGATCTGGAATTGTAGCCATTTGAAGAGCCGTAAAACGACGTCGTAGATGAAGAGTAAGATCGCGGCAGTAGCCTAGGGTTCATGATTGATGACGAGGATGAAGAAGATGAAGAGTAGGGAGTTGAAGATTTACTACGGTACTGAAATGGTGAACTACTTCGACTACCTCTCGACGATGAAGCCATCAACGACCTAGCTCGAGCTCAAGCTCAAGCTAAAGCTAACCCGAACTTCTCTATGAATGTACACGCGCTTGTGGCTGCGATTGGAGTACACGCATTTCTATGGAACAAGACGAGAGATTGAAGTAATGGATTTTGAATTGGTGCTTAGGCTTTGAAGTAAAATGGTAGTGAGAGAGAAGCTTCAGAAGATGAATACAACTGTGTGTCTGTGTGTAGATTATGTAGTGTAGTTGCTATAATTGTATATTCAATCTGAAACTTGTTTTCTTCTTCTTTAAGACAAAGAAGAAATGCAGAGAAGGGAGAGAGATGAGGAGTGAGAACTGAGGAATAATGGGAGGTGAGTTTGAATTATTTTTGCTACAGTGAATTTTTAAATTTAAATAGAAAATAATAAATGCTACTCCGTATAAGGGATTGGAGATTATTTAATTTTATCTTAAATATAGTAGTAGTACTTAGTAATTTTTTTCAAAAATAAAGTATTTTTGGTCCATTTCAGCTGGCAGAACATCAAAGCGGTCCACTAAATCTGATTAAAATGTCACCTGTGTTTCACATGACTAGTTAGTAAAGAATAATTTAGATGGAGATTATTTTTTACGATTTTATTTAATTTTAGAAAAAAAATATTATATATATATTCTGTATGTTATATATAAAAATTATACAAATTTCACACATTTTTTCGACTATAAAATATAAATAGTTTCTCCCAGACCCCACGTATGGGAATAAGCTGGATTTATTGTTGTTTCTTCTTGTATTTTCGCCTCCAATTAAAGCACTATTTAAGTCATATTTATAAAATCAAACAAGAGAATCACTGAAATATAAAATAAAATAAGTCTATCTGTAATGAAATAAATTTCATTCTGATGAAAAAATAAAATAAAGTAAGATGACCCTAATTGCGATCATTATTTAGCTTGAGCGTGCCCAAAATAATTAAGTCATTTAAAAATTTACCAGTTCGACTAAAAGTGTTTAATTTTAATAAACATAAAAAATTATGTATGCTCAAGGTATTATAATAAGCCGAAATTGAATTTGGTTTAAAAAAAGATGGAGTTGTGGTGACGTGGAAATGAAAATTGGCTTTACCGCGCTCTGGTAAAGGAAGCTTTTATTCGAAAACTCAGTTTTAAAAAATGAGCTGCAGTCAGAGAATTGCAGACAAATTGAAAAAAGAGTTGGTAGCATCTGCCATGCCATCAGCATTTGAATTTGGTTCCTTTTTCTTAACTTGTGAACTTTTCTAAAAGAAACTTTAGAAAAAAAAAAATTAAACTTGTCTTATAGTATGTTTGGCCATGTTTTTTTATTGCCAAAAGTTTTTTTCTTAAGTTAAAGTGTTTGGACAACCTTCTAAAAAATAGTACTTATATTTTTGAATTGAAGCAGTAGCAGATTTTGAGAAGTAGGAAAAAATAGTTTTTATGTCCTAATTTATGTGGCAGAGTTCAGATTTCAAGAGTCAAACTTCTTAATTTTTACTATTTTGGTGCTACTTACTCTGTTCTCCCCTATCTCTTTTTTTCTTTTCTTCTTCCTTCTTTTCCTCAGCTTCTTCTTCTTATTCTTCTTCTTCCTTTACTTCCTATTTTTCTGAGCCGAAAGTCTATTGGAAACAAGTCTGAACAAGATACAACTTATTTAAATTGAATATTTAAAATGAATAATTCATAAAATAAAAAAAATCTTTCTGTGGGATTACGTGTAACCTCTCTACCTTTACTAGGTAGGGGTAAGGTCTGCGTACACACTACCCTCCCAAACCCCAAGTATGAAAATATACTGGGTATGTTGTTGTTGTAAACTTCATAATTTTAACCGAAAATTCGGACATGGAATCTTTAAATTTTTTAAAACAAAACCTATATATTTGATAACTAGATAAAAAAAAAAGTATTATAAGTCACAATAACTAACAATTCAAAATATTTAAAAGGCATATGAAAAAAATACAAAAAAAAATTTATTTGACTCTCGGAATTCGAACTCAGCCACATAAATTGGGACCGAGAGAGTAGTTTCTCCCCAAAAGTACTTTTGAGAAAAATACACTTAGAATTACTTTTTAAAAGGTTGGCCAAAATTTAATTGCTACTCAATATGCACTTTTTAAATTAACTAGTCAAACACTAACTGGTTCTCACCAAAAGTATTTTTTTTAAAAGGATTTTTAAGAAAAATATTTTTTAAAATAAGCTGATATTAGAAGCGCGGTCAAATAAGAGTATTAATTTAAATTTTAAAGTGTGTTGTACTAAGTGGCTTGGACATGGAAAACTACACTCCGCGCAATACCCGACAATCGACATCATTTAATAAATTTTATACTGCGGTTTTTTGAATTTGGCCATTGGAGAATGTGGTTATTGTTTCCTCTCCTTTTCAGAGTAAAAGCTTTTATTACTATTTTGACTAACTTTTTTATTCGAAAGTTTGGTCGAGCAGCTTAATTAATTCTCTAAAATAAGTAATGGAGAACTACTATTATTTTTAAATTAAGTGCTTCTTGTTTTTCGAATTTTAACCAAACTAGTTAAACCTTGTCCATCACATTTCAAAAAGAAAGAAATAACAAAACAAAACAGAAACAAATGATTAACCTCTTTACAGGAAACATATAGTGATAGTTCTAGAAACGGAGAGGAAGATACTCTTCATTTGATTGAGTGAAGGTGTCGTTATTTGTGGTGCGAATATTGATATAATATAGTAGACAAAGACAAATAACAAACATGACCAACCATAGAAAGTTATTTTGTTTTAGTGGTAATGGGGCCTTTCTTGGTTTATTTATTATGTTTTAGAATTTTGAATTGTAACATGATTACGCGTAAAAAAAAAAACGATTCCTATGATAATAGTAGTTAGTAGTAATAACAATTATTTATTTTTGCTTTTAGTTAAATTAAGAAATCTTCGATAAAATACTCAAAAATGAGATCCTAAAAAAGAATAGAATAATAATATACTTAAAGTATTGAACCTAAAAAGGGATAAAAGCCAGTAGATATTACTTATATTTTGAGATTCGTTATAACTCTATCCATAAATATGTCCTAATCGTCATTCGTCAAGTCACACTTTACCCGATTGCATTTTATGGAGTTAAAATAACACCCCAAAAAATTTGACTTTACTTTTTTGTAATAGACTATGTATCAAGAGCGATCAAGCATGACTTTGCTTCTTTTTTTTCAACATTAGGCGTGAGTTGCTGCTTAGTTAATTAAAAAATGTTTGGTTAAAGCCCTTACATTGATTAGGCAGGAAAAAAAAAGGCTCCAAACATATTACGCAAACAACAACAACAACAACAGACTCAGTGTATTCCACAAATGGAGTATGGGGAGGGTAGGCAGGGGTCAAATTTTATCTCTAAAATGCTGAAGTCGTGGCAGCATCAGCGAGGCATTCACAGGCCGCCGTGTGTCGAAGTGGTTCAGGGAACAATGAAGGTTGCGGCCGAAGAGTCAGCAAGAATTAAGGTCGAGGAATCATCAGAGATCGAGGTCGAATACCCTTAACAGAGTCATAACGGCTAATTTCAAGATGAAATATTCTTTGTACTTATACTATTAGGGTTTCTAGGAACATGTTCCATATAAATAGAAAGAGACACAATGATGGGGGACATGAGATACTCATTTGTAAAGAACACATTGACTTTGTAAGAGAGAATCTGGTTTTATCGCATATATACAAAAACAACATTTTTACCAAGATTCTTTTCTAGCATTCCGGATCTAAGAACAACTTAAATGTTCAAAGGCTATCAATCATTCATCATTGCCAGAAAGAATATCCACCGATCTCATCCCTTTTCGGGTGATCACATGTTTTATTTACTTAAATGCCATTTATTGATATTTATTACTATTGAATGCATACTTCACCTTTTTGGATCATTGAAGATTGTCATTATTATATATACTCACTGCCATCCGGATAAATATACTAGTAATCTGCCACGGTCCCGGCAACTTTATCTTTACGATATTATTTTTAACTAAGATTAACCATTCTTTATATAAATCTAATTGGTTGAGCCAAAATCAATATTTTTATCAAACAGTTTGGCGCCGTCTATGGGGATTTCTTAGTTAATTTTTTTTAGTTTCCTTTAGATCTACAACTAACGCAAATCACTCACAAACCCCAAGATTTTTCTCCTTCTTTGCACGCACAAAAACCTACATGGCGGGTAACCAAGGAGAGAGGACAAAAGTAACAGGCAACTTCCCAAGCAACCTCATGAATGTTATCAACGAGAATTGTGAAACATTGGTCAAGGACGTGATGCCCACCGTCTCCCCTAGACGCGAGAGGTCGCCCCCTCCCTATTGCAGCATAACAAAACCCAACAAAAAAGGGGCATCCACGTCCGCAAAAGAAGGGACACCACCAACCGTGAAAAAGCTCCTCGAAGCATGGCTAACCAATGCGCTAGTGAGCGTGCTCAACAAGCCCGCTCGATGCACGACTACAGAAACTGCAAGAGCTTGCACGGTACAACGAGCAAACGAGCAGAGCAACCAACCAGACCCTCCAACACCAAGTATAGCTCACAATGTTACTAACAGCACAGAGGATGACGCCCTCGCCACTGTCGTAAAGAGGATGGAGGAAATAGAGAATGAAAATAAAGCACTCAGAGATCAAATGAAAGAACACCAAGAACGAGTCAACAAGATACCGGGCGCTCCTAAACTATTGCCAAAGAGGGACGCCGATAGGTTCGTAAAGTAGCCATACAATGAAGAAGCAGCCCCACATGCCATACCAAAGACCCTCAAAATGCCGCCTTACCTCATGATATACGATGGAGCGACTAACCCCGAAGATCATGTGACTCATTATCACCGCCGTGAAAGGCAACGACCTCACCAATGTTGAAGAATTTTAGCGAAACCCTTACAGGGGACATTAACATGGTACTCACAGCTACCAGCTCGCTTCATAGAAACTTTCGAGGAAATGGCCAATAAGTTCGTAACGGCACATGCCTGAGCCAAGAAGGCCGAAACAAGAGTAAACGACATATTCGCCATCAAGCAGTCCTTGGGAGAGGAACTGAGGGACTTCTTTGCTCGATTCAACAAGGTAAGGACGACTCTGTTGAACGTGTCCGAGGGGATGGCGGTCGCAGCTTTTCAAAACGGGTTGAGTAAAGATGGTTCGAGAGCAACCAGAAAACTACTGTGCCGATTGATGAAATATCCCCCAACCACTTGGGACGATATCCATAATGCTACTCTACTGAGGTACGAGCAGATGAGGATGACCTCAACGGACCCACCCATCAGCTCATCTCGGTACAAGCCGAGTCCAGAAAAGAA